CCTGGTGTTGAACTCACAACCTTGCGATATGTGACCTGGGAGTGCTACCACTGCACTATTGACCCACAGGTCTTTTATTTTTTATATTTTTTTTTCAAAAAATATATATATATATATTTTTAAAATTTTATTATTGTTAAAGAATTTTTTTCTTTATTAAATTTTTACTTTGAATAAATTTGATTAATTTTTATCATAAATTATATAATGATTAATAAAAAAATAACAATATTTAAACAATAATAAAAATTTTGAAATAAAACAAGAATTAAGATAAAATATATGTAAATTTTTATAATTTTTGATTACATAATTAAATATTTAAACATTGGTAAAATTGAAATTTACGTATAATAAAAACATAATAAGTGACTCAAACTTTTGGAAGCAACCATAAATGAAGAGCAGCAAGGTTGCAAGTGACTTTAATTTTATTTATATTGAATACAAGAATACGTATAACTTTTTTGCATATGCAGTTTTTTACCTTAATGCAAGTTCAAAGAGAAAGGTAAAAAAAAAACTTTTAAATCAAAATGCTCACGCCTACGTCTCGAACAATAATGTTCAGTTCACTAATGATATTGCACGTGCAAATCGAGTGTTATTTTCCGTGAAGACTGTGCATAAACATGCACGACAGCAATAAATGTTTTTTTTTGCTCAGAAAATATCGACATGAATATTTCGAAAGTAACTCATCTTTTTTGACACATCTACCAAAAAGATAACAGCTTGGTAGGATAATTTGGGCTGTAAAATTTGCATAATTATTTAAGCACCAGTTAATAATGTCCTCCGGTTCTTGTTGCTTTTTTGCTAGGTATTGAAAAATTAAGCCAAGGTTTAATTAATTTCCCATTGAACTTTCTTCGACGTACTGGTTACATATCTCTTTTGCAATTTTATCAAAGAAATTCTACGACTTACCACAAGATAATTGCAAAGTTTTAATGAACAAAAAGTATTCGAATATTGTTAAAAATTAGCTGAAATGAAGGATTCAAATGGAATATATGCGGTTGGTGTTTACTATCGTCATGGAATTGGAGTTGAAAAGAATGAACATAGGGCATTTGAATATTATCAAAAAATCAGCTGAGATGGGTAATAAATAATGCTGACCATTACTATGAGAAAGGAAAAGGATGAACGTAAGGCATTCGAACATTATCAAAAATCAGTCGAGATGAGTGATGTAGATGAGGCTCTTTTTACCGAAATGGGATTCGAATCCACAAATAGTCATTCATTGGAGCAATTTATTATTGGGTAAGTATAATCACTATTAAATTACTTGTCGAATAATTCAAAATATAAGTATTTAATCTTTGTGGCTACAAACGATCAGACTCATGACAATTACGGTATCAAAGAAGATTTAAAGGAAATACTTGATGAAAAGAAATATTCATTATCCTGAATTCCTTATGAAGAATTTGAAAAATTTATGAGATTGGCCAAGGAGGATTTTTTCGGTATTTCATGCCGGAAGGAAAAAATATTTTGTCGCACTTAAACTGATCCATGGGTCAGGTAATAGCCGCGAGAAATTCATGAAAGAAGTAACCATTTATTTTAATTAACTTAGTAACTTATGTATTATATTTTATGACTAATATTTTTTAATGTAAAGTTAAAGGCATATTGTGATATTGGTTGTGAAAATCATATATTCATTTGATGTTATGGGATAAAAAGATTATATTCTTGTTATGGATTATGCTCTAAAGGAATCTTTATGTAAAAATCTTTTATCGCATCCCACACAAATGGAATGAAAAGATAATATATTGCTTTGTATTTCTTTTGATCTTTATACAACCCATTCTCAAGACCTTATTCACCGAGATTTGCATAGTGGTAATGTACTACAAGATAGTCTAAACAGTGGATACATTACAGATTTAGGTCTTTTCCGCAAAGTGAGTGACAGAGTGTAACAGATTCTATGGAGTATTACCGTATATAGCTCTGGAAGTTTTATGTGGTGATTCATATACTACGGAATCTGATATCTATTCATTACTCATTAGGCATAATTTGTGGGAAATTTCTTCAGGAAAAGCTCTACTTCTCGACAATGAATCCAGAAGACACTTTTAAATTTTTAACAGTTTACGACCCTCAATCGTTAAAGGCATGCCTCTGTGCTATATAGATCTTATGAAAAAATGTTGGGATAAAGTTTACGAAATTCTTACTGAGTGGTAAAATAATCAATATCTAATGAAATAGTAAATATGGGAGTATACTGTATATTCTAATTTAGAAACACATTACGAAAGCTAATTTACTCCCTATACTAAATCCTATGATAAAGTAGACTCTTTCTTACGCTGTTTAAAAATCACTAGGAAGGATGACGCCCAAGTCGAAAGTTTTACCAATAGTAATTCTACAGGATTAACTATGCAATTCAAAAGACATTTATCTCTTTCTGCTGAAACTCGGGAGGGCGTTAAAATCCTGAAGTTAGAAGAATAAACTCAAGTTTATTGATACGGAATAATCGGCTAAGCCTAATAGTGAAGTTTTTGCTGATATTGGTGATAGTATTTTATCGATGTATTCTTTAGGTAGTTTCAAATACATCAGTCGGATTGATGAGCTTAACGTAGTTGGTTTTTTCTATACTCTTTTATACCTTTGTTTTTCTGACAAAAGTAAATTTATATTATATAAATTTTTTTCATAAGAAAATTAGCCACAATTATATACTTTTTTTTTTTTTTTTTTTTTTTTTTTTAAACACCAGCTCAACCTTTACTTTATTATATATAATTTTTAAATGTTGATATAATACATAT